ACTAGGTGGTAGTGTTATTAGTAACCTACGCTCGTATGTCCCTCCCCTACCTCCAACTAGTCAACACGTTAGTCGTGCTCCCACTCGTTGGTCCGACTCGTCTCTCTCTCTCTCTCTCTCTCTCTCTCTCTCTCTTTCTCTCTCTCTCTCTCACACACAAAAACCCTTTTACCCTCTTCTTGAATCGTTAGAGCTCTGTTGCTTTTAACCTCTCCATTCCAGTCTCTCAAGAGCTCTTTTTCTGTTCTCTCTCTAAAAAGCTCTGTTTGTTTGACTTATGTCCCCATTCTAACTTTGGTTCTTGTCCTCGTGCTTTCTCTATTGCTATGTTTGTTTCATTCACCTTTCTCTTCTCTACCGGTGTTTATTTCATCATCCTTTTCTCTCTAGAGCTCTTTTTCTTTTTCTCCACCTTCTCCCTGTAGCTCTATTTGTTCTTTTTGCCTCCCCTGTCTGCTTGCAGCTCTATTTGCTCCTTTTGCCTCCCCTGTATGTCTGTGCACACCAAAGTTCGCTCTCTCTCTCTCACAAGAACCAAAAAAAAGGGCATGGTTTTCAAAGACTCAACCGCAGATTCATATGTTACATAATCAATCCAGCACTCCACGAATTGAAGTTTACGAAGTACCTGACTATTGTGAATTTCTTCTTTTACATTGCCCAATGTGTACCGCAAAAATCAGTAAGGGATATTCGACAACTCAACTCTGTGCACTGCTTTCTAAGATGGAGAGAGAGAGACTGCAGTTCATTCCTTGTGTTAAAAGGACAGCGCTGTGCGACCCATAACTCTAGGGAAGAGAAGGATGAGGCTCAGAAGTTAACAAGACCAGCCCCTTGTGTTTTTGTTTTTAATCTCTCTCTACAAGCTGTCTTAACTCTCTCTCTTCACTCTCACAATTGAAATGGGAGTAGAAAAAGCGCGTGATGTGGGCAGGCAAGGCCGGCCATTGGCAGGCTCCACTTGCATTGCATTGTGAAAGATGCCATTGTCATCGCAACGCAGATTCTTGGACGTGCATGTTTTGTCCTTTCATGAGTGTGGACTAAGTAAATTGGGAAAATTAGCTCTCTTGGACTCACTCCATGGAAAGAGACAATGCCATCTCTCTCTCTACTCTCTCGCTACTCTCTCTCTCTCTCTCTCCATAGTACATTCTCTAGAGTCAAGCTTTATGTATCATATATATATTGTCCTATTTATGTATACGGAAATGATGGCGTAGGCTTACTAGTTTACAATTGCATATGAGTCTAACAATTTGAGCCGATCAAATGGTCACAATCTCATTTTGTATGTTAATTTTAATTTATTTTCTATAAATTGAAATCACATGAAAATCTAGGTTTTTATTTTTCTTATCAATGTGCACTTAATAAAAATATTAAAAAATAATAATTTACAAAATATTACCCTTGAAAAGTTTTTGGGGTATTTTGATCAATTTATTTTGTACAAAATATTTTTTTGATATTTTTATTGGATTTTTCTATTTTTAAAGAACACAGGTTCAAAATTTCAAGTGATTTAGATTTATATAAAAAAATGGGCCTACGCCATCCCATATGTATATTACTTAAAACTTGTTTTTTTTCTGAAAGGAAGAAAATACAGCATGCCCTTCTCTCTTAGTCTTTTATTTGCGGGGATGAGTTCCCACCCTTAACGCGTTGGAGCATTTTTCAAATAAAAATTGTTTTTTTGGGGTGAATAAATAAGAATAAATTTTTAAACTTTTTTATTTTTAGTAGGGAATGGAATTGGGTCAACTGCCATTCACTGAAGACCAAGTTCCTATTCCTGAATGAATGAGAAAAGTTGGATGTGAGGACCTGTTCAAAACAAATGATAGAGGTGGATTAATATCTTAATCATTGCTTGGATTTTTTTTTTCCGTGGAAGTTTTATTTACATTACCTCATTGTACGGTTTAACTTAGTTTCAAAATTCTAAATTAACTCTGAAAAGGAAAAAATGAGAGATTTTGTAGGTCAGAGTTCAAAAATTGTGTTAAACGCCGGTATCCAAGGACCGGAATGTAACGGTTTCGGCCAATGCATCAAGGTTTGATGGAAAAATAAGTTTAAAAAATAGCACTTTATGAGGTGATTTGGGGAAAAAGTTTATATAAGGTTAACTTTAAATATGCAGAATTAAAGACGCACCTAAAAAATCTATCGGAAAAGGTTGTTTTAATGTTAAAAGCCCTCTAATTGATCATCTCGATATCGAAATGTAGGAATATGAAAAAAAATAATACTACTAATAAATGAGTCCTAGAAAGAGTTCATCTTACGTATTATCTAGACCGTCTATTTTCAAGATTTTAATATGTTTATAGATCGGTTTGATTTTAACCCTTTTTTAAGTTTAAAATTTTATAATTAGATGTGAAAATAGATTTTCAGATAACCCTAATAATGTTTTCCACCAAAAATTACATGTTATGATAAAATTTGTATGTGCGCCTTAATTGGATTGTTTAAGGTTGCAACCTTATAGATACCACACCCTTTGACATGATATAATGTAGTGTATGAATTTATCCGAACTTCTTGCTTTAGTTGCACATCTTCTCGCAACCATGGTGCTTGTTGCTTCGGCTTGGTCTTCTACAGAATCTAAGTCACTTAGCTAACCGTCACAGAAGTCTTCAATCTAGCAATGACTTTATAAGTGATGATTTGAGTGCGACACGTTTTATTTATGGGATCGTATATAATGAGACAATTTACCTCTTATACAATGAGGTTGCAATTGTTTACAACTGTCCGATATGATATCGGATAGTTTGGGTGTGTGACAAAGTTCGAGAAGGTTTCTTTTGAAGTTTGAGCTTGGTGAATAGAATACATGCATCCATCAAATTTCACATCGATGGTCAAGATTAATTGGGACCACCTTGTACCAAAGACAAATGATCTTATTGTATGTTTTTCCTTTATTTATTTATATTCTTTAGAAATAATGAGTTTACAACAAATATAATGTGTCATTTTCTCATAACATATTCAATATGATTGGGTTTATATTACTATAATATTTGAATACTTGAGTAATGTGTAAGAGGTGAGCAAGACGCGACCAGAGTACAACATATATAATGTGTCATTTTCTTACAACACATTGAATATGACAGGGTTTATATTGCTCTTATATTTGAAGACTTTAATGTGAAAGTGACAGCGCTCTCATACTAATATAAAAAAGAAAGATATATAAAGAGACCATTTACTCTTAAACTTGTCCATCATATTTCAAATCTGGTAGTTGTGAGTATATGACTAGACTCAAATTTCAAAAAGAAAAATCTCTCGAATTTTGTGACGCACAAGCCATCCCATTTGATATTTAACCTTACTCTCGAATGGAGAACGAGGGATGCCTGCTGAGTAATGATGGAGATGGAGAGGATGGTGAGGGCTTGGATTAGGGGCATGGCTTTCCCCATCTCCTGTTGGATAATAAGTGATTTAGGGACTCGCTTCAGAGAGCCTCTACGATGGTTGGTGGATCATTTTCACCACCATCCAATGATCTTTTTGGTCTTGGAAATTGGGCTAAAAGGGCTTGAATTCCATCGTATGAACCGGTGGTCAGGAAGGTGGAAGAGAATCATTGTGTTTTTATTCTCGCCTCGACTGGTGATGTTAGGAAAGTTATTCTAACTTCTATTCGCCGGGTGAGAGGTAAGCTCCTAACCATCTGTAACTAGAGTCCTATGCTTCATTCTCCATTGATTCATAAAGATCTTTGTTGGATTAGATTTTATGGTATTCTATTGCATGTATGGAATTTTAATGTGTTTCATAAACTTGAGAATTTGTGATGTGAATTTGTTAATATGGATCGGACAGTGCAGAACAGTGGTGATATCTCATATGTGAGAATGAGGATAAAAAGGAATTCATTTTCTCCAAAACCAAGCTTCATTAGACTTTCTATTAATGGTGATGATTTCTTGATCCATATCCAGATTGAAGGTGTGAAGTGTGGTACGAGACCTGTTGAGCAGGTGCCAGAAGCGGTTATAAAAGAAAAACAGGGGGGTGAAAGGGATGATGACTTTGAGTGGCATACAGTAAGGAAGAAAGGTCTATTAGAAGGACAAGGGAAGGCTGTTGTGAGAGACTTTCCAATACAAAGGCTGAGGACAACAATGGTAGGTGTCTCTCAAAGAAATTATGGTCGTACATTTGATGGGTTTGGGTATGCTAGACCCTATGATAATAAGTCATCTAAATTAAAAAAAAAAAATAGACTCCTAAAGAGGGACAAAGAATAAGGGAAGACAATTTTGATGATTTAAAAAAAGTTGAAAACTTACCAAAACCAGGTTGTGAGGTAGGATCCACTAGCTATTGTGAAAATCATGTTTTGGATGATTTGAATTATAATGAGTAAGGAAAATTAACGACTTTTCTAGAAGATTCTGGGGTGGTGTGCAATCAAGTCCTGGTAGGTAAGGAGATACGTATAGGAGATCTTGTTGTACCTATCACACCTGTATCTTCGTGGTGCTATTGGATACAAAGAACGACGGGGGTCGTCTCATAGGGCCAAAGTTAGATAAATGGGTTGATTATCGTGATCTAGAGGGAGTAGCAATACTTGGTAGCCAAAAACAACCAAGACAAGGTGATTGTGGAAATAGGGTTTCTCTGTAAGAGATCCTTGTTATTCTCTTCTTCTTGTTCAGGCTTCACAAGGGCCCAACGATAGCTCTCTATGCTCCATGGTGGGAAGATATGGAATC